AGATGGGTTAGCCTGGTGATGGGTATTAAAGAGGGCACGTTCTGCATGGAGCACTGGGTGTTATGCACAAACAATGAATCATGGAACACTATATCAAAAATGTAATAATAATGTAATGTATGGTGATTCACGTAACAATAAAAAAATTTAAAAAAAGATTTTTTATTTATTTGACAGAGAGAGAGAGAGACAGTGAGAGAGGGAACACAAGCAGGGGGAGTGGGAGAGGAAGAAGCAGATTTCCCGCTGAGCAGGGAGCCCAACTCGGGGGCTTGATCCCAGAACCCTGGGATCATGACCCAAGCCAAAGGCAGAGGCTTAACGACTGAGCCATCCAGGCGCCCCGCCCTAAAGTATTTTTATGTTGAGTTAATACCCTTTTATTTTTCCTTTCAAAGGTGTCCATTTTGCTCCGGTGGGGATTTCAAAAGGGATAATACTCCTCGTTAAACAAAATATATTCACATCTTCCAGCTTCAGATTGCTACTTATCTACTGCCCCAAGCTTGGTGAAATGCTCCTCTGTAACCTCTTGTATCCTCAAGTTGGAAAAGCAGAAGTCCATCTTGAAATGTCTTTTTCGCCAACATAGCCACCTGCCACCAAGATTTAACACAGAACAATCTACCTTCTAAACATCCCCAAAGTCCATTCAATCGTTTCCTACACACCCAATCTGTTTACTGGCTGCCTCCCACCTGCACCCTTTGTAAAATTCAACTGACACATCTTCCTATGTTTCTCTTTGTCCCCTGCAGTTTACTCTTCAAATGTTGGCCTGAAAATATTTTAATATGCTCATCTTTCTCCATTAGCGCTATCATATTTCAAATGTCCCCAGTTTCTCTTAGGATATAAACCACAATATTTGCAACACAGCCTCCAAAGCCAGCAATAAGTAAAACCTGATTTTTCCCTCCAGCTTCATCCCAGGCCATTTGCATCACAAATCAGGACCACCGCTCCCATCCCTAGTTTCTGGAGACTACCCACATGCTATTCCCTCTTATCCAACTGTCTTTACAGTTCCAAGCTCAGGTACATCTTGGGAAATTTTAATATATCTCAATTTGAAAGTTACACATTCAAAGATATTTCCAGTATCTTCACATTATTTCAGGACTGTTCTATGGAATCTTAACTTCTACACTGTAACTGTTAATAAAAATAGAACTATCTAAGTACACACATGTTAATTACAGAAGAGTTCATGTACCATGCTGTTGTTATTTACTATTTCATATTAGGCCATTGTCAGTCTGTCTTGCTCACCCCTCTCTCTGCAATGAAACTGGTTCATAATTGTTCTTAACATGCTTTGAGGTCTGAGTGCATCCACGACTGAAAAGGAGGACAATTCATATTTCTTTGATGAGATGAGGGAATTATGTATTTCTTCCACAGGAGACACAGTAGAGCCTGGATATGCTGGGGTCATGGCTCATGAGAACAAAGGGACTAACGGTTGGAAAACATGCAGTGATTAGTACAGCGGCGTTCATCAGCCACCAACTGGAATCATCAAAGAGAGCCAGGTAAACATAAATGATGGAGGAGAGGGCAAAAAATGATACAAAAGTAGTCACCAAAACAAGGATGTTTTGAGTGGCTCTGGACTCAGGGGAGGGTCTGGGGGAGAGACTGTTCCTACGGATGTGTTGGACCCTCTGCTTGTGCCTGTAAAGGAGGAAAACCATGGAGCTGCTGGCCAAGGTCATGAGTCCCAGACCCAAACTGTCATGGAAAGATGTCACTGCTGCATACACTGAGCCTGCAATCTTGGCACGATGCTGTGAAGAACAATATCCCAAACCTCTTTCCTTTGTAATATTTTTGTTGTTCCATTTACCAGTCATATAAATAGGAAAAAACATATTTACCCCCATGTGGAGCACCCAGCACAGGATACTGGAGGAGCCAATGTACTTTGGAGCTTTCACTTTAAGCTCTACCCACCTGGAGTTCGCAGGGTGGATCATGATAGCCTGGAAGACACTCAAGAGGCAGGTGGAACAAATGGACACACCTCTGGCTACTCTGTGAACATATAAAAGAATGTAGCATTCATAATAATTGGTGAAATGTTTCAACCCTAAAGCTGCCATGGTCTCTGGGACTCTAGAGAGAATGACCAAGGAGTTAGCTACACTCAGGTGCCTGAGAATCAAATTTGTGGATCTTGGCTTGCATCCCCTGAAGTGAAGGGACGTGTAATGATATAAGACTGAGAAATTCCCCAGGATTCCAACGACTGTCTGGAATAGCAAGATCATTCCTATATTCAAATCCACCGAGGCCATTCTGTCATTCTCCAGAACTCAATATTCAAATTCGCAGGCAGAGGGTTCTGCATGAAAACATGAGTTTTGGGCTGCATTTTCACAGGAAATAAAACCTCCACTTACCTTTCCTTCCCCCTGAAAATTAATATCTAAAATATATTCTTTTATTAAGAGATTTCCCATTTTGTGTGTTTCTTTTTATAGCACTTACAATGTCTGTTATTAATGCTCTACCTATTCTAACTTATTTAATATTCACAACCCTATGAGTAAGGAACTAATACAACTCTCATTTTATAGGCAAGGAGAATTTAACCATGGGCAGTAAAGTGACTCATCTAAATAGCAGTAGAATCAGGATTTGAACCTGGGTAGCCTAGGTGCAATGACATTAGTGTTTTACTACTATACTATACTATGCTAAGTACCTAGTTATGGGTGCACACACACATACACACCTCATATTTTAAATTTATTTTACTATATAAACTTGGTTTGATAGTTTCCCATTTTTGTCTAAGTATTTCTTTTATAACCAATATAACTAAGGAGTGAGGATTCAGAGGCCCTAATAAATTATAGATGCACTGAGTAATTTTATATGAGCCAATCTGATTTATTTAATGTAGACAAATGTTAAGATGGCAGCAGAAAAACTCACTTCATTTTTTGCCTGAACCAAAAATACAATGGCACCCATAACAGAAATTATTGCACAAAACTACTGCTAAAATATGGGACATGAAACATAAATAGTGATAAAGCATATCAGGGCAGGAAATAAATTAATCCCATAAAGATCATATCACTGTATGTTTATTATTTTAGAATAAACAAACTGAAACTCAAACTGATATTTGATTCGGAAAAGCTATTAAAATACAATACAAACATGCAAAATGGAATTTGAAGACTTGGAACCTTGAGCATTTAATAACTGAAAAGCAAGAGAGGTGAATAGTGAGCTGGTAATAATATTGAAATGACTTTTTAAAAGATTTATTTACTTATTTCAGAGAGAGGGAGAGAGTGCGAGCAGAGGGAGGAGCAGAGGGACAGGGAGACAAGCAGACTCCCCTCTGAGTAGGGAGCCTGTCGCGGGGCTGGATCCCAGGACTCTGAGACCACAACCTGAGCCAAAGTCAGGAGTCGGACGCTCAACCAAATGAGCCACCCAGGTGCCCCTGAAATGATTTTAAACCAGAGAAAATATAGCAAGAAACATTTGAACCTTAAAATTGTTTTTTTTCTGATATTTTTAAATTAATTCCTTATTTTAAAACTAAATTAAAATATAAAAATAAAGTCCTTAAGTTTTTGCTCTTTGCAACCCTCTATTATGATGTTACCTTTTCTTAAGGGACCTTTCTTAATTTCAGGGAAGACAACTGTCTCACAGAACAATAGGCCACAGATATTTTCCGTAGAGACACATTTACTGTCTCCATTAAGCTTGTCACACTCAAGTTACAGAAGAATAAATTTCAGCAATTCCCAGTCACACTTTTTCTGCTGTGAATCAGGTAATTTAATTCGTTCCATCATATTTGTTATCATATGTACATGCCTTTACAGAAATCACAGTATTGCTCCTGAAAATGTCCCTGTGACTCTCGCACACTGTACTGAATAGCAGACTAATTCTGAAGTTACAATCTTGAAGGATCTTAAAGTTCAGACTCCAAAAGCACTTGGATCAAACACCAAGAACCCCTTTAAATGAGGATATTGTTAAATTACATTAGCAGCAGTCATGCATTGACTTAGTGGTCTCTCTTCACAAGCTCAGCCTGTGCCTCAGGACTGCTTTCCCAGACCTGCTCACCTACCCAGATTCCAGCTGCATCTCCTAACCTTCGAGACTCTAGTCTCGGACTAAACTAGGAGATACTCACAGACTCCTTCCTGCTGCCAGGACTGTGAGCCGGGTGTAAAGTAGCAGCCAAAGCATGTGTGGACGGGAGGAAGCCAGACCCTGAGATATGGGTTAGTGATTCTGTGACCTCACCTCCCCAAAGAAATGTAATCATCATGTCACCTGTAGTGACAGTGACAGTTCACACTTGGGGAACAGTTCTGAAAAACTTTTTAATTACCAGGATCTATTAGAAGTTTCTAATGAGCATATCCAAAGGTCCACTGAAGTGTTTGAGACCATTATTCCTGGAAGCAGACAGGGTCTCACATGGAAGGAGGAAATGCTGAGGTCTGAGCCATGAAAGACCACCAGAGAAGCACAGGTGCCTCATGGGATTCTGTGCTTCCCTGAGAACTTCTTTCACCCCAGTCTAATTCTTTGTTAATCCTCAGACCTCTGAGTACCACCATCATTTAACTTATGGGCAGAGAGAAAGAATCTTACAAATGACCCAGGAAGGATTTTCTATTTTTAAGATTTTTAATAAGTACAATAAATTTTTAAAATTTTCAATCAATGCAAAAGAAAGAACATGATGTCAATAAGTGAGATTTAAAAATGTTTGCCATGTTTCCCCAACTTAAAACAAATTAACCAGAAAGCCTAAATAAAATGGACACTTTCTAGGAAAATATCTCTTAACAAAATTGCCTTCAGTAACATAGGGAGTCTAAACAGACCAATACCCATAGAGAAAGAAGACATTTATAAGGAATCCCTCACAAATAAAAGCACCAGAATCAGATTAGCAAGCAGATTCTTCCCCCCCTCCCACCTTTTTTTTTTAAGTAGGCTCCACGCCCAGTATGGAGCCAAACGTAGGGCTTGAACTCACAACCCTAAGATCAAGACCTGAGCTGAGATCAAGAATCAAATGCTTAACTGACTGAGGCACCCAGGTGTCCCCAGATTCCTCCATTCTTTTAAATAGCAGATAAGCCAATGCTACTTACTCATGTCAAGAACATTACAGAAGAAGTAAAATGTCCAAATTATCTCTACATGTCAAATAAAATTCTGATACTAAAACATCCTAAAGTTTGTACCAGAAAGAATACCACAGAAAGATCTCACATCAGCCTACAGATGGTACCATCTAAAATAAATATTGCCAAAACCCCTGAAAAATAATATACAAATAACATATGATGACCAAGTAAAATTTATATCTGGAATTCAAGAATGATTCACTATTAGAAAATTCATTAATATTGTTCATCATATTTATTAAGAGAAATCAAGAAATCTTACTTGTAGTTACAAAAACATTATTTGGGAGAATTCAACATGTACGGATATTAAATTAAAACACTCAAAATTGGGAATTGATGGATCTTTCCCAACTTGATAAAACAAAGTGTTCATCTTGCTCTCAGGGAAACACACTAGAGATATTCCACTAAGGCCAGAAACCACACTAAAAAAGCTAGTGTGTTCTATTTATTTATCATCGTTCTATTCATTTATCATTGAGTTGGAGGTTTAGCCAGGGCAATTTAAAATGGCATAGGAATTAGAAACAAAGACGTAAAACTATGTTTGCAGACAATACAAGTATATATCTGGAAACACAAAGAACTGATAGAAAATCTATTAAGAAAAATAATTCAGTAAGCTAATAGGATATATTGTTATTTTATTTTTGTATATATACGTTATTTTTGTATATATATTGTTATTGCTATTTTATTTTTAAGTAACCTCTATACCCAACATGGGGCTTGAGCTCACAACCCCAAGATCAAGAGTCACACCATCTACCGACTGAGCCACCCAGGCACCCCTGTACATAAGCTTCAACAATCATTTACAAGTTACAATGGGAGAGCCTGCAATTACAAAAGCGCAACATAGGGCGCCCGGGTGGCTCAGTTGGTTAAGCGACGGCCTTCTGCTCAGGTCATGATCCTGGAGTCCTGGGATCGAGTCCCACATCGGGCTCCCTGCTCAGCAGGGAGTCTGCTTCTCCCTCTGACCCAACCCCCTCTCATGCTCTCTCTCTCTCTCAAATAAATAAAATCTTTAAAAAAAAAAAAAAAGAGTAACATAAAATGAAATATACTAACCAGGAATAAATATAACAAAAATGTGTAAAGCCTATATGAGGAAAACTATAAAACATTCCTGAAATATATCAAAGTAAAAATAAATGAATGTAAATTTACAACATGTTCTGGGGTAGAAAAACTCAATATTGTAAAAAGGTCAATTTTCCTTAAGCTAGTTTATAAATTTAGTTTGATCCTGATATAGATACCATCAGTTTTTCAAACTAGCGATGTTACTACAAAAACCTTAGAGAATAACAAATAAGAATAGCGACAAAAACTCTAGAAAAGAAACAAAATGAGTATAGCTATCCTTATGAGATGTTTATTTATGAACAGACTATTAGATTAGTGAAGTTAAAAATTCAGAAGTATGCCAAAGTTAATAATCAGCAAAAACTACAGTGGGGATAACAACATTAATGCTTGGCATTTGGGAAATGGGAATTCCTATCAAAATGACAATAAAAGAGGGGTGCCTGGCTGGCTCAGAAAAGCACGCAACTCTTGATCTCTGGGTCATTAGTTTGAGACCCACACTGGGTGTAGAGATTACTTAAAAAAATAAAATCCTTTTTAAAAATGACAACAAATGGTCTTATTCTTCACATCCTATAGCAAGGTAAAGGTCAAACAAAAGAGAATATGGTAAAAAATAAGTAAAACATGGTTGAATTCCTTCCTATGACCTCCTTCTCGACCACCTCACTGTAGCCAATGTCTGGCTCATTGTCCTTAAAGGAATCGCTCGCTGACAGCTCTGGGGTTGAAAAATGTCCTTGTTGAGTTTTGATACAAGTTTTTTTTGTATGTTCAGAATGGCCAGTGGTGTATCCATTGGCACCACTGCTTCTTGAATGTCTTCCAGAGCATAATTGGCCCCAGAAACTCCAAGATAATAGAGCTTAAAATAAAAGCTCCCCGGTACCTCTCGAACAAACAGCTGCTTGATCCTGGACATGCTGGTAAATGCCACTTTCCCTCCTCCCGGGACTGACAAATGAACAGCAAAAATGTCACAAAGAAATATGACCAGGGATTCTGAATAAGACCACACAATCACCACTTGCTGCACTTTTAATCTTCCCTCATGTCTTCAGTTGGGATTCGTCATCTGGGCCAGCATCTCCATAGTTTTCAACCTCTTAAGATAGAAGCAGGGGGTCCAGCATATTCATAGGAACAACATCTCCTCCAGAATTTCCCGACATGAGGGCTACCCAAAGCATCCTTGTCTTGGTAAGCACCTTTGTATCTTTTTATGCTCTCTTCCACCTTTTCATTTTATTTGGCTCTTTCTGAAAATCCCAGTTGGTGGCTGCTGAACCCCTCTGCCCTGATCACTCCATGTTTCCCAACAATCAGCCCTTTTGTTCTCTGGAGCCAGGTCTAGGGTCTTCTCTGCATGCTGCAAAAGGAATACACAACTCCCTAAAATGATACAATAGCCAAAAACTATTATAAATTGTTTAAACGATGTGTAGTCATTTGTTCATCCACTCCTTGCAGAGATTTAAGCAGTGAGTGAGCAGTCACCTAACAGAGAGGGTGTGAAAAGCAGATCCAGCCACACCACCCTCAGAATTCCACAGGAAACAGAAGAGGAGCTAGTAACTTTCATATTTCATATGCAATTATTAAGTGTATATGATGGTACTGAAAATGTGAAAAAAAAAGTTTTATTTGCTTGTATTGTTCACATAAAGAACAGACATCCTTAGCACATGTCTCTGGAAATATTTCCAAACTAATATTTCGTCAGTAGTAGGAAAAGTTAAACATCTCTGAAAGAGTACACCTTTTACAAGGCTCCTTATCTGCATTTGATAGAAAGCATTTAGAGGGGCGCCTGAGTGGCTCAGTCTTAAGCATCTGCATTCCGCTCAGGTCATGATCCCAGGATCCTGGGATCGCGCCCCGCATCGGGCTCCCTACTCCGCGGGAAGCCTGCTTCTCCCTCTCCCACTCTCCCTGTTTATGTCCCTTCTCTTGCGCTCTGTCAAATAAATAAATAGAATATTTTTTTAAAAAAGCATTTAGAAACTGAAAAAAAGGTCGGTTAAAATACCTAATCTTCAAGTTAAAAATACTCTTCCAAATAACTGAGAATAAAGATTTTAGAAAACTGAAATTGCAACGGTATTTAGTAATTAATTCCGTAAGCAAAACACAGGATGCCATCCGGTAGGTCTCAAAGGCGTTTGGATTTATAATTCATTTCGAGAGGTGTGGATTCCGATATCAAGTTTAAAGAGAGAAATTAATTTACATCCATACAGGCAGAAATTTTGGTTCTTTTAAAGGAACGTGCCAGTCCTCCGTCCCCGCAGCCCAAGGTCTGGCCGGAAGTCCCAGGAGCGCAGCCCAGCGAATGGGGGAGCAGAAGTGACAATTCCGTGAAAAAGAAGAGCTTTGGTGGACGTTAGTACAAAACTGCACGTTCCCCACAGAGCCGTTCTGCGTTTCTCATTCTAGCTTCCCTCACCCACACTCACCACTCCGGCTTTTGCTCAATTAAATTAGGAGGAGCTGCCATTGTCAGCTCGGTCGCTCCACCAGGACCCCCGTCCCGCCCCAGGTCCCCGCGCTGCTCCGCCTCCCTCGCAGGAGGCGCGACTCCACCACTCGCCAAAGTTTGGACGGGCACCGTGCTCCACTTGCCAAATACCGCCGCTTCAAATAAAAGCGGCCCACACTTCCCTAATGTCGGACCCAGCCTCGCTCCAAAAGACACCAGCGGAATTCGAAGGAATCCAAAAGCAGAAACTGAAGCCGCCGGGCGAAGAGACAAACAGACGCGAAAACTGCGGGACCCCGCGCGTTTCCAGGCCCCGCCCCCGGCCCCGCCCCCAGCCCCGCCCCGCGGCGCACGCGCGCTTTCCTGCAGACCCGGAAGCGGATCGCGCGGAGCAGCGGGAGCGCTCCGGTGAGTGAGTCTCCATTTTTCTGGTTCATGCCGCCGGCGCGCTCTTCAGGCCCCTCCTCCACACCCAGTTTCGGGGGTCGCCTGGTAAGGTAAAATCCTTGAACCCCCCTCGTCCCTCTAGCTGGGAGGTCGTTCCTATCGCCTCTCGCGGCGTCGCCACATGACGTTCCGAGTCCTGTCGCTCGGTGCGGGACCCGGGAGTTTGCGATTCCGGTTAAAATCGCTCTGAGGCGGGTGCGGGCGCCAACGTTGCTGCCTTCGGCCCTTGTAGACACCGATCGCGCTGCCGGTCGCTTTCCCGCGCAGAACCTTTCTCGGACTCCCGACTCTGCCCCCGCCCCCACCCGCGTCGGTACAGGGGTTCCTCCGTACAGTGGATGCAGGCCCTTCGCTCCGCTCCAGGGAGGGCAGGGGGGCAACAGAGATGGCGGGCAGGAGGCAGCAGTCTGCGGAGTTAGGGGCCGTCAGAAAGTTCGGGGAGAAAGAACGGCAGGGATTGAAACAGGTTGCCGCAGAGTGGGGTCAGGGTGTTGGAGGAGGAACAGCGAGGGAGGGAAACAGAAGGGTGCGGAAACAGGGAAACCCAGATGGACAAAAGGAGAGAAGAGAAACAAGGACAAAGAGACATATACAGAGAACAAAACACATAGTGGTCTCGGAGAAGGCACAGGACCCAAACCCAGGTGAGTACTGAATTGACTGGATGTGGAATATTGAGCTGTGAAGTACTGATTTGTGGCTCTGTAATTAAAATTTGTTGAGGTGGGCGCCTGGGCGGCTCAGATGGTTAAGCGTCTGCCTTCGGCTCAGGTCGTGATCCCAGGGTCCTGGGATCGGGTCCCGCATCGGGCTCCCTGCTCAGCGGGAAGCCTGCTTCTCCCTCTGCCCACACCCCCCCCCCGTGTGTGTCTCATGAATAAATAAATAAAATCTTTAAAAAAAAAATTTGTTGAGTTGTTTCAGTTATGCAGAAGAGAACGAGAGTTGTGAAACCAGGTGTTTGAGGCATCTGCACTTTCTAATTATTGCATCAGAAGATGATTCCATTTGCAACCCCTATTCATTTAGAGGGCAGAGGCCTAGCTTAGGCAGTTCCGGGTCAGCCTCTTCCTTTCCAAGAAATGGGGGAAGAGTTTCTGTCACCGCATGGTGCTTTCCAAAATGGTCATTATTAACAGTTCCATTTCTCCTTCCCCCTTTTTTCTGTGGCTCATGTCATTCTTTTCTAAATTTGATGTATCTTCACCCTTGTGTTAACTTTAATCTCAGAATCCACTGGATATCTTTTAATTTCGAAATTATTTGCCTTAATTTTTTGTTCAGATTATGAATTTTATGTGCTTTCTACTTTACCGTGTAGTGGAATTATTGTTTGATGTCTGGTAAATAATTTTATAGTATTTCATTATGCATCCGTTAAGGATGTTGATGATTTTTTTTTTAACACTCAAAATCTAGTTTAGCCAGTTAGTTTCATATTCAGCAGTTCCCTTCCTTTAAGTGATCTGATGAAATTACTGGGCTCTGAGCAGAAGCTTCCAACTAAGTAAATGTTCCCCTCAAGTCCCCTTTGTCTTTTCTGTGCAGATGTTGGGAGGATGGGCTGGATTGATGTGGAACTTTATTCCAGCAGAGCCCATCTGTTCATGATGCAGAGATTGCTCAGATCTCATCTCCACAGGTGACCCTTCATGTTTTTCAGGACTAGGAACTATTTTCAATTTCATATATTTTTTATTACATTTTTTCTGGAAAAGAGGAATTAAATTAACTTGGGTTTGATTAAACCCATTAAAGAGAATCTTCTCTTGTTCAGGAACATGAAAGGTAATCTGAAATTAGGACAAGTCCTTTCTACTTAAACCTGTCTGGGCTACCATTTCAGAATTTACTAATACCCAGGTCTGCTCATTCAATTCAGACCTCTTAAGGGTAACTTGGTAAAAATATTCCACCTCTGAGTCTCAGTGCACCCGCCTGTGAAATGGAGATGATAGACCAGGAATTCTGAATCTGAGCTAATAAGATCTCTGAAATGATTTTGGGAGGAGCTCTGGAGCTGGGGTGGCCCTTAAGATTAAGAGTTGGTCCAAATTGATGGAATGGACAGGCTTCTGTATCCTGCATCAACCATTTATTGGATGCTGGCTGCCTAGGGAGGAGCCAAGAACTTGAATGTGGCAGTTCCTTTGGCCAAGTGCCAAGGGGACAAAAGACAATGCAGTTTCAGTAGAATGTGTGGGTTTCAGCAGGAGGGGAGGGCTTTCTGAAGAAATGGGTGAAAAATGCACTTGTTGCCCTCCATATAGGAGTTACTGTCCTTGTCTCCCTCCTGTTGCAGTTAGCAGCAAAGGACTGTCTTTCCCCCGTATTAAGGTTCTGCCAGTATGTATATTGTGGCAGAGGAAGGGGTTATGTTGATTCTGAGCATTAAACATTCTTTTTGTCACACAGAATAACCTTATCTGAGAAAGAAGCCCAGAAGAAGAGGGGAAAAAGGAGGAATGGCTCTTTCCCAGGTAAAAGTCATATTTTTAGTTGATTGTTCTCTTGCCTAAAATGTTTACTCACACTTTCTCTCAATCTCCTCTCATCTCCATGCAGATTCCATCTCACTGTGACCCAGTGACATGGAACTTGGGAAGAGGCTTTTAGGTGGTCATCCTGTGAAGGATTTTCTGTGCAGGCATTGACTGGAGATAGGGAGTAGGCTCTGTGGTGTCAGTGAGGTTGGACATTAAGGATTCTTCAGAGACCCCTTATGGATGCCCTTTCAGCTCATATAAATCAAGATTAAAAAGATTACATATGTAAGTGATGTATTAATGTGCACAAATACTTGAGAAACTCTGGAAAAGAAGACTGATGGGGGATATTTGCTTTTTCTAATTTTATAAATGTCTTCTGATGTTAAACTGGAAACTAGTATATTTCTGACTTCAAAATATTAATACTTTGGAAGAGAATGGGAAATTCAAAGTAGGAATAAGGAATAGAGAGGGTGTTTTGTTTTATTAACATAATTAGTTTTAAAATGTAGAATCAACCAACTTGTCTAACAGTAAGTGTTCTTTAAATTATTCATTGCACACCCATCTCATAAAGACCATGAGGTCTTTATGGAACTCTTGAGGTCTTAGGAACTCTTACACAGCAGATCTTTTAGGTAAAAATGTTTATAATTTAGCCAACACATAAGAGCAGAACTTTCTGTCATTAGAGAGGCTGGGGCTAAATTTTGATTTTACTAATTATTGTTAAATGTTGTTTTTTTGTTTGTTTTTTGTTTTTTTTGTATTAAACCTCTCTGGTATATATTTCTGTGGTTCAGTTCCACACAGTGATGGAGTTTAGAAACTAAGAAGTAAAATATCCCCTTCCCATCTTATCTTCCACCATTACTGATTGTCTTCACCAGGAACCAATATTCTCTTTAGTAACTATTATAAAAATCTTATAAAAATGCATTTATATATTTGAGAAAATATTCTTCAGTAAATGTTTAATTATATTTTGTAAATTTAAATATTTACATACCATGTGTCTTGGAGTTGTTTTCATGTTAGTAAACATAGAGATAACTGCTTTTTTAGATCCTCATTGGACCAGTCTCTAAATGAAGATACATGGATCCTCTACAATTTCTTATTGTTACAAAGAATGTGGGCTTCTGAGCAGGCTGACTTTGCTACAGATATCTAAGGATATCTCCAGATTGTATTATCTTAAGCATGATTACCAGGTTAACCTGATAATGATGGTGTTCCTGAGGTGGCCAGACATTCCACTTACTAAGTAAAGATTTTAAATCAACTGTCTTAAACATATTTGGTTAAAGGAAGCCATGGAAGAGAACTAAGAAGTAGGAGAATAATGTTTCAACAAATAGAAAATACTAATAAAGAGATAGAAATTATGGTAAAGGGATAGAATAGAAATTCTGGAGCTAAAAAGTAAAATAACCAAAATTGAAAATTCACTAGAGGGTTCAATAGCAGATTGACAAGAAGAATAAAGAATCAGTGAACTTAAACATAGGTTAATTGAAATTATCCAGTGTGAGCAGAAGAAAAGGGAAAAAGAAGAAGAAAGGGGAAAAAAATAAAAATGAACAGAGACTAAGAAGCCTTTGGGACACCATAGACACTATCAAGAATACTGATATAGGGGCGGCACCTGGGTGGCTCAGTCAGTTGAGCAGCTGACTCTTGATTACGGCTCAGGTCATGATCTTGGGGTCCTAGGATCGAGTCCTGCATCGGGCTCCACACTCAATGGGGAGTCTACTTGACAATTCTCTCTCTCCCCCTCCCTCCCACCCCCTCCCTGCACACACCCTCTCTCTAAAATAAATAAATAAAACTTAAAAAACGGGGTGCCTGGGTGGCTCAGATGGTTAAGCATCTGCCTTTGGCTCAGGTCATGATCCCAGGGTCCTGGGATCAAGCCCCACGTCTGGCTCCTGGCTCAGCCAGGAGCCTGCTTCTCCCTCTCCCTCCGCCTCTCCCCCTACTCATGCTCTCTCTCTGTATCTCTGTGTCTCAAATGAATAAATAAAATCTTAAAAAAAAAAAAACTTAAAAAACAAAAAGAATACTGATATAATACGAGTCCTAGAAGGAAGGGACAAGGAAGAAAGAGCAGAAAGAATATTTGAAGAAATAAGATCTGCAAACCACCCAAATTTATCAAAAACATTAACCTACACATCCAAGAAACTCAATGAACTTCAACTATGAGAAATGCATGGAGATCCCTGGCAAGCATATAATCAACTTCTGTAAGACAAAAAGAATGTGGAAAGTAGCAAGACAGAAACAACTTCTCATGGATTCTCAAGAAGTTTAACAGCTTATTTCTCATCAGAAACTGGAGGCCAGGAAGCAATCTCATGAGATATTTAAAGTTTGACAGATTAAAAATAAAATCTACCAGGAATTGATAGTGAAATTAAGAGACTCCTAGATAAACAAAAGCTGAGGAAGTTCACACTAATACCCTTAGCCTACATGAAATACCAGATGGGAGTTCTTCAGACTGAAATGAATGGAAACGGGCAGTACCTCTAAGCCATAGGAACAAATGAAGAACACTAGTAAAGGTAACTATATAGGTAAATATAAAAGCCAGTATTATTATAGTTTTCTTTTCTCATTTTTTTCTGTGTGACCTAAAAGACAAATGTAGAAAACAATAATAAAAATCTGCTTTTGAGTGTATTAAACATCTGTTCATCTGTGTTTATAAAGAAGTAGTTTTTTACAATAAGAACATAAGGGGAGACTGTATAGGAGCAGTTGTTATATGCTATTAAAGCTAAGTTAATATCGGGT